TTGTTAGTTGGAGACGGCAATCATGGAAGTCAATGTACATAGAAAAAAGGACCGCTTCCTCTTGGGGCTTACTTAAACATTTTGAGAATTTTGAAGCCTCAATTTAAAATTTGTCCCTTTTTTCTAACCGCAAAATATCTAAATATACTCTTAAATATCACATATGTCTCATAAGAGACTTGAATCCATGACTTCTCATTTGAGAGATCATTCCTTACCGCTAGATCAAAGGTCTTTTGGTATTTAAAGTTTGTCATCTTACCTATCTTAAAACATGTTATCTTAATTACCGGGTTGGTCCGGTTAACATATCAAACAATTTGTGACCATCTTTTGTATGTTCTGCAATGCGTAAACAACTACTATCTTGAATATTAATTATAAAAACTACCACGAACATAATATCCATTTTCATAAATAAAATGATTTTAAAGACGGTAAATAATTCAGTAAATTTTGGGTGAATTTTGATTGGGTTTCTGTATTACTGACATTCTATAAAATAGCACTTGTATAAGAAATAAAAGGCATTTGGTGTTTTATGGGATGACTTTGACTTTGATGGCATGTGTGAAACTAAGATGCCTCGGGTAAAACATATTCTATGAGGAATATAATATGAGATGACTGTTATTTGAGATGGTACTCATGGAAGTCAATGTAGATAGAAAAAGGATCGCTTGTATTGCAAACTTACGTCAACATGTTGAGATTTTTTTGAAGCCTCGATTTAAAGTTGTCATCTTTCTTATCTTAAGTCTTGTATTTAAGTAGGGGTCGGTCCCGAATAACATTTCAACAATTCTGTTGACCATCTTTTGTACGTAAGTTCCGTAAACAACTAATATCTTAATCCTAAATATTAATTATAAACACCACCACCAATAAAGATAGTGATATCCCAATTAGATAAAATGATTTTAAATGGTAAATAATTCAGTCTTTGTGGGGTGACATTTGATAGTTTTGACTATTTCATTTCAATTACATGCTATCCAATATTATAAATAAATGATTTTAAAGATGTGAATAATTCAGTCTATTTTGGATGACATTTTCATAGCTTGACTCATTTCATTTTTATTATTGTTACATGCTAACTTTACTTACCTTATTCGCGACCATGAAAACATATAGCGGTAGGAACTCATTTTTATTGAAAGGGTTAAAAACTGACTCATTTACCGACTTGAGTTCACAAACTACCCATACAACTTTAATTTTCTAAAGACTACCCTAAACCTCCTTTTTAGTTTTTACCACGCCCCTTGTCATGGTAATACTAAACATTTGCTTCACTAAATGCTTGCGATGCAAGAGTCGCGATTGTGCCATTCTAATGTTCGTTAACATGTGGAGTATGTGACAAGCTGGATTCTGTTTGTTGTAGAAAGTGTTGCATGTGCCAGGGATGCCATATAACACTAAAAGCAGTATTGAAGGGTTCTGAAAGATACCTTGAACTGAAGGTAACTTAATTATTACTTAATATATAGATTATGGAGGTTCATGCATTCATTAAACTATATATGGAGATTATCAGTGTCAATAAGCACAATTGTCCATTCAATACATAGACAACAATTCAGTATACCGTTCCATTACTTTACAATCTCAATTCAAGATCTATTAATTTAGGTTTTACGTCAGGCCGGCTGCAATGCTCAGTCGTTGGTTTGTCATGTTATGTTACTTATGATATTCATACTGGTGGCTCTTGCTGATGCCCAAACTCCCACCTGGAATTAAACCCTAGCCATGCAACTTGTAAGGACCCGAGTACCAAAGAATGTCATAAACTGTGCGGTTTGTCCAAAGTTGTGTCCAGATAGCTGCACTGTAATTGTCAATCATGCAAACCTGTTGTGGTGGCGACATTGCACCATCACCACCCGTGTACACACCTCCAACACCAAAACCACCTTACTCACCACTTCCCCCCCACCACCCCTTTACCACCAACAGAGTCCACACCTCCAACACCAACACCATCCACACCCTCTCCCACAACCCCCATCACCCCCAGAAGAGTCCACACCTCCAATCCAAACACCATCGTCACCACCTCCAAAACCACCCCTGCCACCACAAAAAGAGTCGACACCACCAACCACCATCCTCACCTGCCCCTCCTACATGGTCTACTCCACCTTCGAAACCCAAGAAAGTCAAGTGCAAAAACCACAATTACACAAAATTTATGCCTCCGAGCATGTCTGCCCTGCTTCTTGTCCTGGTCAATGTGAAGTTGATTGTGTTCTTGCAAGCCAGTTTGCAGTAAGTTCTTGTAACTCTATGTTTTCACTTTATTAATTAATAAATACTAAAAATTCATATCGAGGAGAGTCATCTTGACATCAAATTCTTGAGGTTAATTCCATCATGTACAAATAATACTATGGTTAAAATAACGTTTAAACAGCTATCATTGAATCTCATAAGTGTGTTGCATAATATCTGCTCGTAAATTACAGATGCGATATGCCTGGAGCAGTGTGTCAAGACCCTCGTTTCATTGGTGGGTGACGGCATCACTTTCTACTTCCATGGAAAGAAGGATCAAGATTTCTGCCTTGTTGCCGATAACACCTCCACATCAATGGCCACTTCATTGGAAGAGAAACAGAAACATGGGCAGAGACTTACTTGGGTCCAATCTATTGGGATTCTTTTCGACAACCACAAAGTACAAATCAGTGCTCAAAAGACTTCTTCTTGGGATGACACCATTGACCGTATCTCTGTTACATTTGACGGGGAAAACATCTTTATCCCAAAAAAGCGAAGGTGCCAAATGGCAATCTTTGCGACATCAATCACTAGGATTCATGACACCAACCATATCGTTGTTGAAGTTGAAACCTCTTCAGGATCACAGCCAAAGTGGTTCCAATAACAAATGAAGAATCAAGAATCCATAACTATGATATAACCAATGACGATTGCTTTTGCTCATCTTGATCTCAAGTTCAAGTTCTTCTCCTTGAGTAACGAAGTGGACGGAGTTCTGGGACAGACTTATAGGAATAACTATGTGAGCAAGGTGAAGATGGGGGTGTTAATGCCTGTGATGGGAGGAGATAGTACGTTTGTGAGTACCAATTCATTACAACTGATTGTTCTGTTGCTAAGTTTAAGGGTAGCCAGGAAGACGGATCCTCATTGAACTTGCAATTGCCAAGCTTGAGCTGCCAAAGTGGTATAGAAGGGCGAGGCGTCGTATGCAAGCGATAGACTTTTCTTGTTCTTGTTATTACAATACTTATATTTTACTACGTCTTTAATGGTCTAATAAAGAATTAATAATAAAATGAAGGAACCTTCCAATATAGATTTTCTTGTTGTGTTACTAGTTATTACAAACTATACAACAATTCCAATTTCATACAAGTATACTACAATTCCAATAAATACAATTTTATACACTCAAACATATATACAATACATTCAATTCCAATTTCCATTTCATTTTAGACATACAATACCACTTTCATATTTCAATTTCATACAATTAAGCATATAATACATCCAATTCCAATTTCATACAAATATGTACAAATCTAAATACAAAATCAAACAAATCATGCCCAACAAATTTCATCATTCATCATAGTATGCATTTTCAAAGAATTATAAATATGAAATTAACAACATATATTAAATTTCACATTTTTCATACAACAATTTCCAACCTAAAAAAAACAGAATAAAAAAAAAACTTACCTTTTCAGTGGCGGTGGGTGGTGTGGTGCCCGGAAGTAGTAAGTCGGTAGTGGCCGAAAGTGGGAAGTTGACATGGTGGCTGGTGTTCAGGGAAAAAAAAATGAAAATCAAAAACCTTACCTGGGAACGGATACTGTGGTGGCAGATGTCGCAATAGACATCGTTGCAGGTGGTCAAACCTCCGGTGACAAGCATAAGGAGACACAAATCAAAAACAGAAAAAAAAATCCCCCAAAATCTCAAAATCGAACCAGAAAAAGAAGGAAATCAAAGGAGTGAACTACGACATACCTGTGTCATCGGCGGGTGAAGATGAGTGCCGGAGGTACTCTGGACGGACACACCACACACACACAAACACACACACACACACAGAGAGAGAGAGAGAGATGACGAGAGGAGAGAGGAGAGGAGAGAGAGAGAGAGAGAGAGAGCGGAGAGAGAGAGAGAGAGAGAGGAGAGAGAGAGAGCTTTTGGTACGACACTGCAGCTGAGAGGGGGTCGAACGAAGCAGATGAGTTAAAACCTTATACCGACGACATGTCGTCGGTATAGAGTTAAGTCAGAAGACGTCGAATACTCTTTTTGTAAATGAAAAATAAAATAAATAAGAAATATATTTACCGACGACAAGTCGTCGACACT